TTTGTTTGTTTTGTTGGTTTGTTTTTGAGGTTTTTTTTGGTATTTTGTTTTTTTAATAAAAATGAATATTAGAAAAACAGCTTTAATGCCAACATAGATTGTTCTATGCATTTAACTTCCAAAGAAAAGACTAGAAAACTAGAGGGTACTACCCACCAAAAACAGAACAATCCTTCCTCTCACAACAGATCTGTGCATGAAGAAGTTATCAGGTAAGTTTCTTATTTCTAAGACTCCTTCCTGTGATTTGTTTTGTGTGTTCTTTAAATAAATTATAATCAATAATAGAAAGCAGTGTGAGGACTCTGCAAAGCTAAGAAATGCCTCAAGTCTGTCTGTCAGATATCAGCTGGGTTCTAAGGTGTATGAAAGCCAGCAGCTGCCATGCCACTGACCTTTGCAGGGGCAAAGCATCTTCTGTCCTCTTGTATCATCATTAAATCACTTCTCTGGACAAAAAGCAACTGAAACTCATGAAAACTAAGACCAGAACGTGTCAGAAAACCTTGCTAGATAGGGAGTCCTCAGCTTAAACACAGGAATCTTTTAGAGCTTGATGGAACAGGGATATACAAAAAGGGACCCAGTTATGTTTTACTCGAGATCCTGTCCTTTATTTAAGACACTAACACAACGTTTGGGTGGAGCTGAGAACTTATGGGATCGTGGGTATGGCAGGATTAATGAACTACAAACCCAAGTATGAAAGCCTGGCTACACTGAGTGGCCTGCCCAGATACAAATACCCTTTTCCCACATTTATGCCACTGCACAATATCCCCAGGCCTGGGAACAAAACCAAACCTTTTAAGAGATGATCAGCACGAAAACATTCCCCATTTATCACATCTTTCACCATGAAGTCAGCAAACTTGTCTACGTGGCCAGAAGTCCTACAAAAGATGACACACAAAAAAAAGCATCATGAAAGCTGCCCCTGGACAGCCCTGGGTAGTGTGATCCCAGTTCAGACCACCAGCAAAGTCAAGTCCTTCACACTGTGCACCCAAGCTGCAGCTTTGCTCTTGCTTCAGGTCGTAGATTCATATTAAGCAGTCCCATCCCAGAGGAAATCTGATCTGTGAGAAAGTATCAGCCCATCTAAACCTTAAAATCTGTCACTACGATGGCACTTGGTGCCTTTAGGAACTGCACTGTGGTCCAAGGAAGACAGAGGCAGTTGTCAGAAGCAACCAGTGGTTCAGGTGGACAGATTCTTGCCATTTTATGCACACAAAATAACATTTGACTCAGCCCATGCTTTCAGTCTGAAGTTCTTGACATATTTAGCAAACCTGTGGGTAGTTTTAGTGGAGATACGTGGAGGTGAAAGGGTCCAGAGCCTGACTATGCTCTCACTGAAGATGCTCCCTCTACCTGGTGTGTGGATAAACAGAGGGCTTCAATCCCCAGGGCTACAGAGGAATCATTTGCATTCAGGGCTCGTTACACACTGCACATTGCCATCCCTCCACAGAGAAAGGAAGGGTGGCCAAATAATCTGGCCACCACCCTAAACCATGACCCAGGTGTCCCAGATTTAAGCAAGTCACTTAATCTTTCTTCTTGATCTTTTAGAAGAAGGGATAATGGCAATTTCTTACCTAAGAGGACTGCTAGGAGACACTGGACTCTCAGACATGAGTCCCACTGCTCTCCCTGATTTATGGAACAGCTTCTCCCAGTGACCTGTGCACTGATACCTAATTACTCTGCACTGTCACAAGGTATGAAATTGGGTGACCCAGTCTGAAGATCCACATGGGTAATTTTAGAGAAGACTGTAAAAAGCAGCTATGGCCAGAAATGACATGCTGCAGACAAGAAGACCCAGACTTACTTCAGAACTGGCTCTGGTGTGAGCATGGTACAGTCAATCTCCAGGATCTGCTCTTCCTGAATAAAGTGCTGTCTCCATGCTTGGATGATGTTGTTCTTCAAAGCACACCCAACAGGCCCAAAGTCATACAGACCACTGACCCCTGCCAAGAGAAAGAGGTAGAAGAAATGTGGTAGGTGCAAGACTGTCCAAAGCTGCACTGCTTGGAGGAAAAGTCCCCCTTTCTCAGCCTTTCTTCAGCTGGGTTAAGTCTGAGGCAATTTTCTGAGGATGGATCATCATCTTTCCTGCAGTAAAGAGTATGTGGCTCACTGTAGAGAGATTTTCATGGAAAGATCCATGACATAAAGGCTGAAAGTAAACTCTGTGAAGCACCTAGACACTGCCCTCAAGACTAACCACAACAGTTCAGCTGCAGAGCACACTGAGGCATGAGGTAGTGGCAGACGCTGAAAATGATAAATAACAGCAATCAACAACTGTAAAAGCCACACTCCCTCCACCAGTGGATTAGATCTTGTGGAGGGTTGTGTGGGAGCAGCCTGTCTGAAGGAGGAATCTGAACACAGACCACGTGGATAATGCATGGGCCAAAGCAGTATGTTACTGTCCATAATAAAACATCACCAGCTTAGGCACAAAGATGAAAAAGAAGAAGCAAATAAGGCAACCAAGAGCATTTATTTTAGTGCCTTAGGTGGAAGAGCAGTAGCCATACAGGCACTGTGCTGCCCCCCCTGAAGAGGTTTAACCCCCACGTTTGTTCACCTGTACCATAAAGTTCACTGACAAAGTTCACTAAGGTAGCAGGTTCTAAAGTTCACAGCAGCTTTGAGCATTATCTTGCCAAGAAAAGTTCAGATAGAGAGGAACGGTTACGAGGAAACAAGCTGATCACCCCCTAAATATCAAAACACCCCAGCCCTCTGCAAAGAAACCATCTTCTCCAATGTACTGCTCAGAATATACATCCTACAGTCCACTCACTTGCATTCAGAAAGACAGAACTTGAGCCCACTCCACACCCAAAGGCTTTAGGAAGGGGAAACTTCTGTGAGGCTTAGACAGCAGCAGAAGAGATTAAACCCAACTTAAAGAAAAAAAATCCTGTTGCATTAGCATAACATTCCAATTAGCCTAAAAGGATCCCATTAGCCTAAAGGCATCAAAACACAAATTTCTTCAGAGCTGTACCTCCATAAATAGAAAAGGCTTGGTCGTAGAAAAACCTCCTTTTCAGGGTGTCTTCCATTTTAACTCTGTCCACAATGTCATCTTTGGGCTGCAAGGCCAGCTCCTGTAATCCAAGCAAAGAGAAACCAGTTAATGGGTCTTATTTCTGGCAGGAGGAGAAATCCTCTCTGTTCACCACTAAGAAGTGACTCTGTGGAGAATTCTGAATGATTTTGAAGCAAAGGTATACTGCCAACACACTCATTTGCCCAAGAGGGATGGTCAGGCTGAGATTCAAGCACCCAGTCACCAACACAATGGTCTGAAAGCAGCATTTCACACACTCCAGGTGGACCCACCTGCCCTAACCTTCAGACAGCTAAGCCTGAGCTGGTTATCTTCAGCTTTCTTTACAACCTCTGGAAAGATATGTCAATCTCCAAAGCAATTCTTCTGACCTATTTCCCTCTCCTGACTATGAAGAACTTCAAGTCACTAGCTCAGACTGCTAACATCTCACTCTTGGCATATATAAAGCTTTCAATAAAGTGCTCTTCACATGAAGGAATTCTGACTGTGAAGATTATAACCATCATCATCTTTGTGCTCCACCAAAGGTGTGTATTGAGCTACTTGTACAAAGCCCATCTATTTCCAAAATGCAGGCTTTGCCAAACACAGCCCCCTGCACTCAGAGAAGGCAGAGTGCCTAAATGCCCTGCCTAGATTCTGTGAAAACATTTTACAGCACACTCACTATTTGATCTGAAAATATAGGATTTTTGCAACTAATTCTGTTGGTGAAGTCAACAGACTTGAAGGATTTTCCTCAAGAAAGATGTTTTGATAATGAAAACAGGAAGCTCACTAAATTATTTCAGATCCTTCTAAGTGGCTAGCACTCTTTTTGAAACACCTTTTGGTAGCAAGAAGTATTGTATGACCAATGATTTCAAACTTTTCTTTTTTTAGCACCTACAAAGGGAAATAAATAATGTCTTATTTTAAAATAAGCATTGCACCTCTGCTGTTAGCATGAGCCAAGGAATAACTTGGTATGGGAGACAGAAACTCACAGGCAGAGAGCACACACAACAGCAGGCACCAGAACAGGGCTCCTGAAGCATGGAAAGGGAATCCAGTTGGCATTCTCTACCTGAAAACATGGAACTGTATTCCACAATGACCAAGGTTTCTTAACTGAAGGGCTGAATTTGCCCAGAGAGGGACAGAAGGAGAGCAACAGTGGCACAGCCCACGTCTGAGCTGGCAGGGAGAAACGCCCAGCAGCAGAGGACTAACTGGAGTCAGCACAGAACTGGGAAAACATTTAGAAACTACTCACTCCAGGATGACTTAGCTACCAATTCAGGTTTCATAGCACAGTTCTGTGCTGAAAACTAAGCAAAAGTGACATCTTTTCACCTGCCTTAAACGTATGCAAACATTTCCCACAAGGCCAGGCCTGAGAGCACCAACCCTTCACCTTACATGACTCTGTAGGACAAACAAGGTCAACTGATTTCAAGTCAGTTATACTCACACCTCACAGTAAGTCACACTCATTTACTCATTTCTTTTTAAGAGTACCACCCAAGCACAACTACAGTCATTTTTATATGAAATGCAAATCAAAGAGCCTCTGACTTTCTGCACACTTGACTGTTTTTATGCTTCAAGAGTTTCTTTTTGTTGTTTCAGCCTGAGGAGGGGAGGGAAGCCTGCAGGATGAGGAAGTGTATTTTCACTTGTTTATCAAGCTAGACATAAAATAAACTCAAAGTTCCAGTGTTTCTTTTGAAAAAGACTTTTCAGTGCCTAACTGCATTTAAAGGGGACACGATTTCAATACAACCCTCTCTTTAAAGCTGAGGAAAACCTCAGGCTATTTGAAACATCTCTGAAAATTGTGTTTAAAGTGTAGCAAAAAACAAGTGGTTTCTAAAGAAACAGGTTCTATGCCAGTGTGGGGATTTAAACACTGCAGGAAGAATCTGAAAATGAAGCTCACTGCAGTGAGCAGCATGTCCTCTCACTGTGAGCAAAAGAAGAGCTGTACACTGAACAGATACACTGAATTTCAGCTTTTCCTACAACCAACCTGGATTCATATTTGTCTGTTAGCACACTGGGATGTAATGTTAACAGACAGCAGTGTAACAGCCAAAGGATGAACCTGTCACTAGCTGGAAACCTTCAAACTATTTCACAAGGGATTCAACCCGCCCTGCTAGGACTGTTTAGCCCAAAGCAGTGCTGAAAAAAATCCTGAAGGAGAGATTTCAAGGCTTTCCAGACAAAAGTGTAGAACTCAGATTTAATTTCGAGACTCACCTTTGCTTCTAGGACCCTCTTCCGAGCTTTGAGCTCTGCCACAGCTCTGTCTATATCCACCTGGGGAGCCTTCTCTTCCTTCAGCTTCCTTACCAGCTCTCCCTAGAAAAAGGAGACAAAACACAAGTTACAGATTCATTTTCTGAATGCCACAGATGAGAACTCTCTCCCTTTCAGCTCCCCTGGCAATCCAAAAGGAGGGTTTTGTCCTGCCTCCCCACAGGCCTCAAGGGGCTGCTTCAAAGGGTAGAAGTGAGCAGAACTTGACATCATCAGAGAAATTCAACCCCCCCCCCATCACTGTTACACCCCAGCCCTGGTATGAAATCTCAGTGAGCAAAGATACTCTCACATGCATCACTTCACAGCAGATTTCCACAAATCCAAGTTTTCTGTCTCTCAGGATGCACTAAGTGGATTCTCAGATGGTTAATACAGGCTTTGTGCTCTCTCAAAAATAAGGCTTCTCTTCCTTCTAGCCCTTCCCTTTTCTTCAAAATTCAGGACCATTTTGTCATGTCTGTTCAAAGCTGGCCAGTAAGTACACAGAATTTTAGAAGGTCTCAGAGAAGACATATATTTTTAGCCTAATGTCTAAAGAAAAGAGGCACTGCATTATCTGTAAAAACTGTTACTGTTTGTAAAACTTGCTCGGTAACTTTGGGAAAGAATGGAGTAAAAAAATGAAATCAAAACTAAGGATATTTTTAGCCTAATGTCTAAAGAAAGGAGGCATTGCATTATCCCTAAAAACTGTTTGTAAAACTTGCTCAGTAACTTTGGGAAAGAACGGAGTAAAAAAATGAAATCAAAACTAAGAAAAGAAACCAACCAAGTCTTAACTCTTTCAGAGCAGCAAAACCCTGCAGCAGGCTTGCACCAAGAGCTTGATCCAAGTCAAGCCACCATCACATTGTTAGGGATCCACAAAGGTGTCTCTGCCCCGTGGGGATAATTCCCCCCTTCCACCCCAGGGAAGTGCTCAACCCCTAAATAACCAGCAGCTTTTCTGAACATGATCCTCAGCAGCCATGCCCTGCTCTTGGAGATAATTAATTAAAAGTCTTTTCTTTCACTCTACCCCTCTTCAGCCAAAGCCAAGGTCTATCTTGAATTACTGATAAGGACAAAGGGGCTGAGCCAGGAGGAGAAGAGCACAGAGGCGTCAGTGCCTTCTCAAGTGGGGTGTTCTAAGGATGGGGTGCTGGAAATTCAGCATTTTTCTTGCACCTTGCACTTCTCCATCAAACAAAAAAAACCAAACAAATCCAAAGACATTGCAGCATTTCAACAACACCAGCTTCATCATAAACGCTGAGTTTTTCTGACATCACTATTACAGGTGAGTAAGCAGAAAAGAACACACAGATTACTGTTCAGTAATCAGATGAGAAAAGCTAAAAGTGATTCAAAGACTAAGGGGGTTTGAAGGTTAATTTTATTAATAAAGGGAGGAAGACTCAAAAGACTGCATCAAAACAAGCACACACAAAGAAAATAAAGAAAAACAAGCATCCTGTCAGGCTCCCTAAGCCTGGCAGCCACAAGAACACAACGATCTCCTGTTTCCTTCCTGTGAACTAGTTACACCAAAACGTGAAAGTTTCACTCTGGGGCTGAGGACTCCCACTGCCACTCCTGAGTAACGTGGCAGAGGGAGGGATCCCATCTTTCTTTTTTTTTTCTTTTAAAGCAGTAAGTCCAAATTGCCTTTGTTGAGCCAGGGGGTCGACCGTGGAAAAAACATCAAGGCAGCAGCAAAGCAGCGAGCGGCTGACTCAACAAAGCCATCACCCTCCTCACTGCTGAGAAGCTAAAAGCAACATCCAACTCTTTGTCCTGATCCGTGAGTAAGAGTCCTGAGAGATAGGCAAGGAGGGAAAAAAACCCTAAATCTCAAACACAACCGGAGGAAATATTGATGTTTGCTGACAGGACTCCATCTCATTAAAGCTGCGATCCTGAGCCCAGCCCAGAGGAGGAGCACAGGGCAGCATTCTATGTGGCAAATTGTGCTGCAGCTTTGTCCCAGAGACCAGTAAAGCAGAGAGGGATCCACCCCTGGATCACGGCAGCTTATTGCATCAGGCACTGCTGCAGGAAGATACGTCGCTCACTCTCCTCTCCCTAGGTTAAGAGTCCCTCAGGTCTCGTTACGCTGCCTCTCCACGAGCTGACACCTTCTGAGGCAGGGACCCTGTGTATCACCCACCCCAGCCTGAACTACTCCCACCCTTCCTCCTCCTTGCAAATAGTGCAGTGAATTACAGCCATCAGCTCCACGACACAATACCCCTCTACAGCCCCAGCTCTACAAATTCACCCCCAAACCCTCCCCCTTGGCACCCCACATGCCTGCTTCAGTCCCACAGGCAGCCAGAGAGAAGGGTGTGTTGATATTTTAAGTGACAGCACCCAAGATACAGGGTTTTCATATAAATAAATTGGCTAGTCCCAAGGATCATCATTTTATTTACAAGCAGCTCTCTTGCCAAGGCATTATGCTGTACAATGATTCATAATAAAAACTCACTGAAGTGCCAGTCTAATTAGAGGGCCATAAATCCACTCATTTAGTGGGAAAACACACACAAAAACCTACAAATGCATGGGACACACACGTAGCTATGTGTGTAGCTAAGAAGACTAGAGATTCAGCCACTTAAAGGAGGCACGGGGGGAAGGCACACACGTAGGTCTTGCTGCTAAAGTGGGGAGGAAGAACTTCCATGTGCTGCAAGCAGGTTCTACTGCCATTAATGCACACAGCAAGGGTATCCATAGTCACCTGGGGAATAAAGGGACAACCAAATCCTCCAAGGTGAGAAGGAAGCTAAAGATAATGCAGTTGCAACTAATAGGAGGCACCTACTTATCTAGGCAAATAAGGATATTAATTCCTTTGCACAATTTCCATTTCATCATCCTTACGGCTAACACGCCACCCTACAGAACATCATTCACCTGCAGAACCCACCACAAGCCCGGCTCTTAGGGGAAGCCGCTGTGCGACCCTGCGGACAAGGAAACCCAGCAGGCTGTTTTATAAGGAAAAGGGGAAGAGGCAGCTACGGGGCCCTGCGAGCCCGGCAAAGTCCGGCACAGCAGAGACCTGGAGCCCGGCAGAGGAAGCCGGGCAGCCTGACGCACAGATCCAGTTCTGCAAGACAGCTCCGGCACGCAGGG